TCTGTCAAACAAGGAAAACTATACTCTTTCCTGGTACCAAACGATATAACGACATAGAATGTAACCTGATCTGTTGGATTACTGTCGGCTCCACAATAAACCACTGAGAATCTGAGGGTGAGTTTCGGGTGTGAGTGTGGATGTGGGTGAGGATGAGTATGGGTGAAGATGGGTGTGGGCTTAGGCTTATGTGTGGGTATGGGTGAGTATGTGAGAGGGTACGTGGGTGACGATGTGGGTAGGTGTGGATCTGGGTGAGAGTGTGGGTGATTTACTCCTCTTTTATCCACAGTCATATCCGCACCATCACCCTCAAGCGGATGGCCCAGAGTAAACGACTGTGCTTTTTATTTCACATTTTAATCTCGGAAAACTTTCTATTAGAAAGCAAAACATACCACAAGATTCAAGTTGAAAAGCTCTACAAACCTAGTCGTAAAGCTTATTTCGATTACACACCTTTGTTTTCAAAAAAGCAAAAATGCGTGCGATTAATTGCGGAGGTATGTTGTAATAGAATCTGTTTTCTAATAAAATGTTTCCAGAGATTAGAATATGAGATGCGAAGTGCGATGATTTATTCTGAGTTACCCGTTACTTTCTACAGGGAAAGAATCGTCACGAAAGGATTAACTTGAGTAGTTATTATGTAAAACTAGTTTGGTATCAATGTCTATCGACAGTATTGTTTTGTCACTTTTTATACGCTTTACTAAGTTCATATTTGTCATTCTTCTCAATTTTATACATTCAAATCTATTGTAAGAAAATTTCAATGGATTTTGCATTTCATTTTATATATTGCTTGCAATAACGAACAGAAAAATTCTGCTTTAATATGAAATTCTAAATCATGCGCAATGCCAAACATCTAGAGTAGATATAAAGTGTGTTTTAGACAGCAAACTTCACAACTTTATCGGTTCTCTTTCGGTAATGTAGATAATTTTAATATCGAGGTTCACCGAACCAGATAAATCGAAAATATAATATTTTCATGAGTTTTATATTTAACTTTATTGTAAAATGATATTCACTTGTTTTTTCATCAAATATAGAGCATGATAACTCATCAATCTGTTCGTTCTCTGGCTGACTATACTATCAAAATACAACTGAGAAGTTCAGTTCTGTTGAAAGCGATCCAGATGATTCTAACTTCAGATAAGGTTCATAAACTTCAATATTGTCATTGCCTGTATATATAGCAGATGGATTGATTCATCTTTCAATGTATGTATGCATATTTATTCCAGTAAGATGTTTAGTTTTATTAATTCACAAAAGAAAATTCACTCAAATATATCTTAAAAATTCTTGGATAAATATTATTCATGCAGTTGTATAGCGTATATTGATCAATTGCGACAATGACATTGTAGACGACCATCATATGGTAGACAAAAGCCTGCTCTGTAACCGCGATCTCTACAGTACTTCATACATAGATTTTGGTCAAAAGTTGAGCCGTCGCAAAAGAAATAGCGAACGTCATCATTCAATACAGTTTCATTTACAAGCATCACTGAAAAATAGACAATCGTTTAGCGATTAATAACTCTCTCTAATCATAATTACTTGAGTTCTCACGGAGCTCATTCATGGCTCCAACTGCCAGCAACAAAACAAAGAAGAATAAAATGGATGTCACTTTTATGGAAGCCATAGTGTCTAAATAAATGATATGACTATATTTATCTAAAATCGCTTCAGTTAAATACTCACCTGAATATATATGAGATTGATTGATTTCAATAAAGCCCAGAGATGATTTATAATTCTGATGATAAAATAAGACATATATATAGAAGGGGAGACATCGTTGTCTTATCACACGAATGGGAAATTGGCCACTAGATAATTGGAAAGAGCGGGGATTATGGCTTTTTCCTTGCGACGGCCTACGGATTCACAACGAAGCTGCATATTATCTATTCAACATAATCATGCGATATTTCATGTATGTCTATTAGTGTGCACACACTTTTCCCCATCAAAAAGGGAATAGGGAAAAAAACCTATACAATGTGGAAAAAAGGACTGATAAGAAAACGGGAAAGCTACCAATTGTCATCATAGTGATTCATGCATTCTGTTGCGGAAGAAGAAATAAATCGTTCTTTTCTTGGGCAAATAATATCTTCAGAATCATCAATTTTCAGCTTGAAGTTCGTTGAGAATACTTTATATTCTCTCTCAAAAGATGAATTACTAGAGTTAAATAACAAAGAGCAAATAAAAAGACCATTGAATGTTGTTATATCACTAAGACATGGTTAATTTTTGTCAACATCACTAGCCAAAAGACAATCAAAAACGAATTACGGTGTCTTGATTTCTATTCATTCAATCATCGAGCTTAATTCTATTAAAAAACTGGTAAATTATTAAGTGAAATACTCTAAATCACATGATGTCTTGATAAGTGATTTCATACAGCAAAATATCTCTAAAGTTATATTTCTTGATATTATTAAAAGTTTTTTTTGTTAAACGAGAGTGAATACTAAAGCTTTCTTTTTATGTACAGTCAAAACTGAGGTGATTATTATGTATGCAATAATGTGATTCTACAGAACCATTCTTTCCGCTAATGAAAAAAGAATTTTAGCTATATTCAGTAGTAGAATATGAATAGCAATTAATAAGACTTTGTAAACACAATCATGATAGTAAATATCGTGTTTCAAGAAAATTAAGAATGTTTAAAAACGAGTTATTCGAGTTCTTGAGTAATTATGTACAACTATAACGTCTTTTTATAAAATAAAATATTGGCAATCAATCATCGATCATCATCATTAATAAACTCTCCATTTAAAATGTATAAGAAGTATATCGTATTCAACATTTGCTACCGCTAGCAGACGACATGCAATATATCCTAGACATGCAGCGATATCACAAAACTGTAACATCAATATCGTCATTCCCCTTCTAACAAAAACACCTGTTATTTTCACACAAGCAATAATTCAATATCCATATCTTTCTTACTGTTTTTCAAGTTGAAAGTGATGACTAAATATGACTAAGCTGTGTGAAAAAAAGTAATGTATTTCTTATCGATTTCATGAGATAAAACCCTATTATGTTAAGCATAGATATGGTGGTATTTTTCTCGTTACTTTTAGTCAAACAACAAAACAAGTAATGTAAAAAGATTTATTGCAGATGTCTGTAATCAATAACGATGATCGTTTCATTGAGCTTAGTAGCTTTGGTAAACAGATTTTAAATCTTTGCGCAATATAACTTCCCTAATCAAAAGCATCTTGAGAGTGTAGGTATGGGAGACGAATAGATTAACATTCAACTACACTCAGGATATTCCGACTCGGATTACTGCCTCCATGAAATCTCCGAAAAGACTCGAAACCGGCCGTTTCGTTACCATACTAGTTGACTTGAGGGGGTTGTAAATAAATGAATTATGAAGAGAAATAAAGTTGACTATTGAGAGTGGGTGTCGGTGGGTATCGTTGTAGATATTAAAATTGTCTCTCACACCCGTCTTCATTCACACCCACACCCTTCATGCAGGAGTTTGTGTTAATTTAATTCGTGTCTTATTGATTATGCTTATTTATTTCAAATTATGGTTGGACGCATAATTATATTTGTAACAATTTTAATTATAGTTTGTTTTCTAGCTACACTATTTATGATTATGTCATTTTGAATAGTGCTCCAAAATATTATTTTCGAATCAGTACCATATTCACTCTTCTAGCAGTTTAATGAATCACTTAGAACATCTGTGCTCAAAATAATACGTAAACGACGGACTGTAGTAATACCGACTGTGGCATAAATAAACAAAAATATGAAACTTTAGTCGATATTGTATTGCATTTTCATTGTACTTACAATAATCAAGAATGTAAATATTAAACTAGAAATGAATACGAGACTTAACTGACCAGATCAAAAATCTATAAGAATCTTTCGACAATTTCTCGAAGGTGTGAAATACAAACACGTCCCACCCATCTGCTAGTTCTAACTTTTGTACTTCAGCAATCGACCTTTTGTGGAAATTATATAATAAATGAATGTGCTTTGTATAATTAATAAATAGAATAATGTAGGATTTAATTCGCCAATGCGTTTTGTGTTATTTATTAAATACAAAAATTCATCGGAGCTTGGCATAAGCACAAAAAAAACTAAATATAAAACTAAATATAAAAATAAGAGAAGGAGATAACTACTTGTTCAAATTGTTTATGTGTACGAGTACAATGAAATAGTTTAAATTGTTCATGCTTACCAATATATGGGTGTGTCTGTGGGTATAGTGTGAAATCAATATCCATATTTATAAACATAACTAGTTTCTATTCAAATCTCATACTAATATAGTCACATACAATATAATAACAAAAAATGATAATAATGAGACTAAGAGAATTTTTAATGAATTGCGACGTTGTATGTTTTTCCATTTGGAAAGTATGAAAAATACACACAAAGCACATAGTATTGAAAATAGTGTCGTACTAGTTTTAATACGATCAAACATTCGGTAGTCGTTTTGTGCTTGTACTCTGTCAAGTTGTTCATTTCGCATAACACTAGTTACTTTAGTGGAAGAAGATAACAAAGAAGTGGTGTTGGTGGTCGTAGCAGTCGTTGAAAATGAATAAGAAGCTTTTGATAATGATGATGATGTAGCTGTCTGATTTCCTGAAAAGAAACAATCAAAAAGATAGACTCAACAAAAAGCTGCACATTGGCAAAATATCCAATTAAACTTACGTAATTTTTCTTCGTATGCAATTTCCTGCCGTATTATGTATGTCAATTTTCTTATTAACTTAGTTGCTTGGTTCCGTAGTTCTGTTACATTCGAACAATTCGATGAAAATTGATAAATAGCTTGTTTCGTTTCGTTGATGTCTCGTTCTAATCTTATATGAACTTCGCTTTTTCTTTGCACTAATTCTGGTACTGGAGCTGCAAGAAAGAAATATAATTAATTCATTTCTTTTCATTTGTTACATACGTTCTGGTAGTTTATAAATATGATCAACAAGTTTGATTAAGAATGATACGATTTCTTGAGAAACATTTCGTTTTTGACATTCTTCAGCAAGATCAGAAAAACGCTGACGCCATAAACGACGAACATTCGATGACAAATTGCTTTTATTTATTTCGAATCGAATAAATAAATCTTCCAGATGTTGTTCAATATTTCTCATATTTTGACTTTCATGACATAACATTTCTACCTCAGTTAATGTAAAAGTATGATTATGGTTTAAAGTTTCGTTAATCAAACTAAATATAAATGCAACGAAATAGAAGTTAAAACGAAAATTTTTATTGATTTTATTATCTTGTTGTATATTATTAATGAAATTAATTAACTTAAGAATACGAACCTCTTTCGCCACAATTTTCCTTTAGGAAAATCTTTAATTGGATGCCACATATTATTAGGTTGTTTGCGTACATCTTCGTAATAAAATACTTTTGCATATTCAATAGTGCTTAATTCAGTTGGTGTGACAATGGTAAAGTTTAATTGCACCGCTAATGTATTGAAAAAGAATTCATGAAATGGCACTTCACCTAACCATTGAACAAATTGATCCATAGCTATAAGCATTCGTCGACTGAATCCCACTGCATTGGCCATGGAACAAGCCCAAGGTGGAAGAAATTTTCCAGATGCCATTACCCATCGCCACAGTCCATCAGAACCATCTAAATTAAGTCCATGACGAGGAACAATTAAATCACTAGTATTCGCATAAAGCTCATGCAGTGAACGAAATGCTTGTACATTTGGAATAAACACATCTTCTTCTAGGAACCAAACAAATGAATAGTTTCGATTGAGTGCACAAAAATAGAAAAGAGCTTTATCCCATGATGTAATATATAGCCATGTACCTAGAAAACATCGAAATTCATGGGAAGAATCTATTAGAATGAACCAACATAATAATAATCTGACTTTGTTTCCTTCTCACTCAACTTACATTTTTGATCCAATTACTTTTTTGTGAAACCCCGCACTCATACTCAATTACCCGCAATGTTCTACGATCAAAGATGGAAGCTTTTCAGTTTGTTCCTAGGATCAGTAGGTCTTGCTTACTACGAGAATATCTATCGAATTGGTGAGATTGATTAAGCAACTTTAGAAGTCTCTAATATGCAATACCTCCTGAACTAATGGCTTTCTGATAGTTGTGTCGAGAGCTTTCTTCTCGTGGAATTTGAAGTAGTCGAACATTAGGTGAAACATTCACGGCGGAAATATTAAAACTATTATCGTCAACCATAATAAATATTTCAACACCATAGTGTAATGCATCTTGAGCCAATTCTTGAGCAAATTCAAGTAACTCTGGTGCTGGTCGATATGATAAATAACAAAGAGCTGAATTTAGTGCTTCAACATTGATACGCTGAAATAATAGTAGTAATCCAATTAGTAATGAAGCGATCGTCATTTTCAAGTCAATAATACATATCTACAACTAAATACAATATTAGATTTTTATTTAAGTCGATTATAATTGTATCTCAAGCATCCTAAGAATTCGCGAAAATTTATTTTTTCGATATCATTTTAGGACTTTTCTTACGAACTTCGTTATCTATCTTATCGTCAAGTGGAAGTAATTATATTCAGCTGCTTCTATACGTTTAAACTATGTGAACAGTTTAGGGTCCCAGAATGATACTAACATAGATCATATTAGAAATTCTTACTTATTTTGTATTAACTATGCCTTAAAAGCAGCTACCATAGATTTGTTATTCATTAACCTCATCCACACCTACACCCGCCCTCACATTGAAATGATTGAAAGACGTCTTTTTCACCATAAAGGTAAAACTAAATATGAAACTTAACTGTTCGTAATCTAAAAAAACAATTTTTTTTTAGTAATTCCTACGAATCTGATTCCAGGCAGAAAATGTTAATAATAGACTAAAAATCACAACTCAAAAAATACAAAGAATAATTCATCTGGCATTTTTTTTTGAGTGATCGATGCAAGGTTACCACAACACAATCCATCACCACGATCGTTATGTTTATTTTATTGGTTGAAGAACAGAACGGATTAAAAACAGTATGGACGGCGCACGAAAAAGGATGGCAGTAGATTACACAATTTATTATTCACTAGCAGCTCTCAACCATTCAAAACTTGTATGAATATTGACTGAGAGTGACGTCTATATTTACACACACACAAGGTGACCCAAAAGTTTTGAAACGATTTATAAATTGATCCTTCTCACGTCAACAAAAGTAAATTCTTTAAAACTTTAATAAATTAATGCATATATATAAATCGCTTTATTTGTCTCAGTGGATTGACTATATTAGTCCTCACCACTCTGAAAGAAAATAAAAGCAGATTAAATATTAATTTTTAAAAGACGTGAGTGTTAATTTATTTTTCCTGTTATGACTCTTCTGTGGTATGATGGTTGTTACAGAAATTGATGAATTTGTTAAAGTATGTTGTGGAGTTATTGTGGAAGTTTAACACTTGAATAGATGCCTTTCACGGTGGTGATGACTTGTTGTATTTATTATATTTTTGTGCTAACGTTGAAAAATAAAAGACATCGTGGATATTTTTCATTGAGCATTAAAACAGATAATGTATAATTCGTAGACATCTCCGATAAAAAAAACATTAATTTTGCCTTTTTGAGTGTTTGATAAAAAATACTATAATGAAGACATTGCATGTAGATGTGACTAAACAAATGTATTCAAAAAACGTTGTTTAAGTTTGAAGAAAGAAGGAAATCGATTATGTATATACTTTAAAACTGTGTATGTTTGCCAGCATTTCTCTAAATGATAGTTTTGAATTTCGTCTATATCCCAAGTTTTAAACATTGCAATTTCGGAAGTAGACCTTCGTGCCACAGTATATCAAAGGCTTGTAAGAAATCGATGAATACTATTAGTCGAAAAAGTATTACCAGGTAGTGGTTTATACGCTTGTTCGAGCACCTGATTTCTGCCATGAGAATATACCATGTTTAAATGACCATTTCTTGAGAAGCAAACGAAAAATGCGTTCACACACCTTGCCAAGGACGGGTACTTCATATATAAGAATCGATTGTAACAACCATCAGATCCCGTTAAATTTATCCAATTTTTCATGTTTTTAGATAGTTTACCATCGGTAGTGGCAACAGCAACTGTCAGTCTCTTGTCATCAATCTGTATAATTGTTGTTCCTGTTGTCCTTGATGAATTCCTAAATCTAATAACAGCCATAGATGTGATCAATAATTTTATGTTTTAATCTTTTCTTTACCTATCATATCCATAAAGTATAATATTTCGTTCATGTTCTTTTGTACAATCATTTTTTGTAATAGCTTTTTCAAGTTGTCTAAATGCATGAGTTTTGCCACTTCCTTGGGAATCAGAAAAAACGGTACGATCAAAAACAAACTGTTAATTGGTGGAGTTGAAGATGATTCATAAATGAAACAATATTCATTAATATCTATGTCATGTTTCAGTAAGTGTTTCATAAATCGATCACTTGTTGAATCATAAACTGTTAGTTCTGGTGCTTTCATATAAGATTTTACATTTCGACTACGAATATCAGTTAAAGAATAATAGAATTTGCTTAAGTGATCATTTATCTATACTTGAAGTGCTCGTTCACATGTAATGGAGTGTCTAACACTTATCGCTGATAATGGAAAAAATATTGAAATTGAAGTACATTATTGATTGTTTTAATGTTTTCTGTTTCGATGGAATCGATGATAGTACAATCATTGATTGATTTGGAAAACCATAATCAATTGTAAATAATTATGTGGCTATATTTAAGTGATGTTCATACCAATTCCATCCTGCTAATACAGCTTGTTGATTAACTTCTGTACATGGTAAATATGTTCTGTTATATTTATAATAATCATTTTTTATTGTGATATCTACATTTCTCACAAAATCCTCATTGACGACCAAATTCTGACTGTCACCATGAGTAAATATCACAAAATCTTTGACATGTTCTAGTATTTCTATAGCATCAATGTATAATTGCATTAAGCATGCTAATCTCGGAAAGATTGTACTATTTTTACCATAGAAATCTTTAATTTGTTGCTGTTGATTTGGAATCTGAGCATGCGTTTCAACCAAAACAACGATTAAATTCTATCAAGTGAACATGCCAGGACGAGGTTGTTGTGTTTGTTCATCTTTAACTTATAGTGTCGGTGTTTTATCCAATGACGCTGCAAGTAAGTTAAAATTTAGAAAATATGAAACTCACTTATAAAGTTTTAATTTAGATACCATCGCAAAATTTTGTACGTTCAGCTTCTGACATTTCAAAAACAAATCGTACTGTATCAAATAGGCGAGCATATGTTGGATTGCTTTTGGAATTCATGTTGACCTGAAAACTGCAAGTTATGAATTTATATTAGAGTATCTATGCTCATCTAATGATGGTTTTACTCTTGTAGTCTTGAATAAACTAATTTGGGAATGCTCATGTATAAGAATGTATTGTGAGAACCATCAAATCCCGTTATATTTATCCAATTTTTCATGTTTTTTCACTAGTTTACTACCAATAGTAGCAACCGTAATTGCTAATATCTTGTCTTCAACCTGTATAATTGTTGTTCTTGCTGAATTACTAAATCTAATAACAATCATATATATTATCAACAATTTTCTGTTTTAATCTTTTTTAATTGTTGCCAAGGATAGGATAGGTATGGGAGTGCTTGTAAAAAGTATGATACTTACATCCATCCTAGAGTTTTACACAAGTTTATTATTTAAGAAGATCAAACACTTTGTCAAAGATTTATTTGATAAATAAGTACGAACGAGTCAACAACATATCACAACGAAGCAACAAGTACAATAAGAGCAATTTTTTTGATTAGTTATTATTCAAAGGGTTTAACCATCGTCACATGTTATTTGCGGATCTATACGAGTGATTGTACTATTTACTGTATTAGATAGTAACACCACATAATTGTCTAGAAGAAGTGTATCAAAATAACCTGCACCTAAACTCCAATTGCCTAAATTAATTCCATTTTCATTATAAATTCGAATTCCGTAACCTTGAATCGTAAACCATCGCCGATTGCAATCATCAATCAATACATGTGCTCCATAACTTGTACTGGTTGTATATGCATTAACAAATAACGTTTGAGTCCAGTTGGATATTGTTGCATTGTAATTATATGCATATATAGAAGTATTAGTCCATGATGTTGCATAGAAATATGAATCATTTACATGCAATAAACCGTGTGGTGCTATATAATTGAGTGTTATGTATGATGTCATTGTATAATTCGTATTATTAATCAATGAGAAAAAGTACAGACGATTATTACTAGCAGAAGCGACTACCATTGTTTGTCCATTATTTAAAAAAATCATATCTCGAACAGCATTCATACTTGCGGTTGATGGAGCATTTATATTGTTTACATAGACTAAGGAATTATTACTTACACCTTTAGTAAAAACTGAAATCGTACTATTACCAGACATTCCAATAAAATATTTTTCTTGATTAAAAGCAATATTTGTTACCAATGCATTGATAGGAATGTGTTCTAAAAGTGTTAGTGTTTGAGGATCAAAACGATCTAAGTATGAAGGTACACTTGATGTTTGTTCGATAGTAATTAATGAACCATTACTATTAAGAAGAAGACATCGAGGTATATTGACAGAAGTTGAAATCGCATTAGCCATGACATTTTGTAGCTTTTGTAATATCAATGTTATATTTGATACACAACAAGGATTACTTGCATTGGGAAAAATATTTCGAACAAAATAAAGACGTGAATTATTCATTGATTGTATTGTATATGTTCGAGGATATTGAAAAAAAAGTTCACAAGACAAATTCGCATAACAATTCAAAGCCAGTATGGATGAATTAGATAATATTGAACAAATACATTGATCACATGTTAAATTTGTTAATATAGTTGTATTTAATCTAGGTCGAATAGAAATTAACACAGCGTTATTGATAAATGGAATACTTTTGCATTGAATTTCAATGAGAATATAACAAAAAATTAAGTATGTGCTGTGTCTCATCATGTCGAAGAAAATTATGTTATAAAGTTTTTTTTTGCTTCGTCATTCTGCAATTGTTTTAATCATCATAACTACCAACTTTTTCTTGCGCATATGCTCATTCAAAATAATTTTGAAACACATATTAAATTAACTTTTGACGTTATTTTTTTTTTCTTGTACTTAACTAATATTATAAATGCTTTTTGTTGACAAGTACTTTGTGTTGTTATGAAGCATTTGGTGAATACAAAGCAGGTATTGATAAAACGGTTGATACTTAAACTTCATTGATGGGTATGGATGCCGGTGAGGAAGAGATTAACACCCACCCACATCCTATTGTTTAGATTTAAATCCGTGGTTTTCACATTTTACTTTATATAATTCTATGATGTGTATTTTAGTCTTCTATTGGGTGCATTCTGTTTATTTATTTTCAATAAAATCCCTTGGGCTGCAGCAATTTTTTTATGTGTAAAATCAAAAGTAAAACAAGTGAGATAGTGATATAATAAAAATAAATTGCTGCTTTACATTTCAGATAAAAAGAAAAACAAGAAGAATACTTTCATAGAACCAATAAACGAGAAAAAAAGAGAACGTTAGATCGTTGGATAGTTTTTATAATTTAGAAAATTTAATAATACGTCCAGTGCCACTGTCAGAGACATATAAATTTAATTGTGAATCTAATTTCACGCTCCAAGGATTGGTCAGACTGCTACCACTAGTACCATTTCCAGCAATGGTAATACCTGTTGAATTGCCATCGCAAAAAAGTTGAATTCTCGAATTTCCACGATCGAGAACATATATATTATTCCATTGATCTAACGTTAAATCCACTGGAGTTTTTAAATAAGTAGATGATGATCCCGAGCTTCCAGGAACACCAGCCAAAACGGTGCCATTTGCGGCCCCAACACGCCATTTCACTACTATATGTGAAAACACATTAACAATATATAAATTTTGGTTTGTTTCATCATAAAATATACCATATGGTCCCGATAATTTATCTGGTGTTGTACCTATTGATAAAAATGAGAAGAAGCATGATTATTATCTTATATAATAGAAATCCTTTCTGTCAACGTCAATACAAAAAAGATTTCGTTTTTTTATGTAATTCTTAAACGGTGGAGAAGTTTACTCATTCTAAAATCTCTGTTGCCTTTGCATAAAGCCTATACTATCTGTTCTAGATTGTGTTCCATTGAAAATCAGAATACGCGAATTTACTTATGTGAAAGATATACTACTGAAATGTTGAAATACAACGGAGAGAAATTTTGCTACATTTCCATATTTCTTTCGATAGTCACAGGAAAATTAATATTTTAGAACTAGAATTTGATAAAAAATATTTAGAACAGTAAAACTGGTTGCAGTCAGTTTTCAAAGCTGTAGTTCTACATAAATAAGACAATATTTATCAACAAACTATAAACTAGTTCTTTCCCATCCGACTTACCTTGCCCATTTCCACCAGCGACAACAACTCCTACTGTTGCACCTGGACTCCATCTTGTTACACGATGATTGCCAGATTCCGAAACAAATACGTTTGAACTAGAATCCACCCATACACCAAATGGGGTTGCTGTATGATTTAGTGCTGTTCCAGAAGTACCATCGCCCGCTACTTTTATCCCGGTAGTCGCACTATTTGTCCAAAACATAACACGATTATTGCTTCCATCACTAATATAAATATTTTGATTTGAATCGACATAATTAAAACGTATTGATGAACCAAGTTGATTCAATGCAGACCCAAGTCCGCCTAATCCAGCTACAAGAATACCACTACTAGCACCAGGCAAATATTTCAGACAGCGATAATTGCCAAGGTCATTTATATATAAAATATCATTTGAATCTATAAATATACCGACTGGTGCAGATAATTGATTCAAAGCGGAACCTTGTATGCCAGTTCCTGCATAGGTGATGCCGGTAGTATTCCAAAAACTTCCATGGATACCTTACAATGAAGAAGAAAAACAAGCAGTTTTACAATTCAGTCAAACTTGTTCTACTATATATACGTACAAGGATTTAATGCTGTAGTCACTAAAAAAATTATATATATGTTATTAAAATTTTTCAAAGTTCCAAGAGAATAAATGTATTGCTTTTTTTCTTCTATATATCTAAAGTTTTTATTTTGGTAGCTGTAATATTCTGACCAAAATCAATGCACCTCGCGAAATGAAGTATAAAAATCTAAGAACAGAAATGCTAAGATTTGGTTTTTAAACTATTAGATAAATACAGAGAAATATGGCGGTAAGACACTCAGTCGGTATGGAAAATTAATCTTCATATCTTACTTGTCGTTTCTGTCGCATTTGGTTTAATCAAAAGTGCAAGTGTAATTGCAATACCTATGCCAAGAACTAGAGCAGCAATCACAGATGCTATTTTACAGAAAAGCAAACATCTGTAACAGATATTAATTGAATGAATATGTATATGATTAATGATAAAAAGAAATATACTGACTTTTTCTTTTTCTTTCGTTGTGAATTCTGATGATAATCTTCCGTAGTATCTCTTTGATTTGATCCAGTACCTATCGTCTGTTTTTATTCGAAGAATGAGTTTTTGGAGAATAAAACAAAAGCGTAATTATTTGTCTTACTTTTATATTATGGAAGTTATCACCAGTACTCTTGGATAATTTTGATGAACCCGTTGTAGCCTTAAAGATTGTTTGATGACCGCGTTCTCGATCACTTTCAGTTCTTGCTGAAGAATGACTTCGTAGTTGTGAGTTTTTCTTTGAAACATCGTTTTTCCAGATGTCCAGGTTTGACTAACATGAAAGGTAATGTAAATAATATGAACGAAAGAATTTTTTTCAATAATTTTCTATTTTTTTTTGACTTACTTGAGACCCTAAAGGATAAGCTCTATGGCTTTTATTGATGCTGGCACAACGTATTGTATTTTCTGAATTTTGGACTAAATTTTTGTCGATCGATTTTCTCCTTGATTCATCTCGATGATGATGTTGATCAACATCTTCGGAATTTGTGACATGAGTGTTGTTTTTTGGTCGAATTGTTATATGAACAGTATTTCTTACTCGTGACCTTGCCGATGATGGGTAATGACGCTAAATTAGCCAGACGATATAAACAATGAGAAATTGTTTCAAATAACTTACTCGACTTTGGAGTGAGTGATTATGTTGATGACGAGAAAGTTTTATTACACTTAGGTTGATGGATTGAACATCATCTAAACGACACGATGAATACAAGTCTAACATATGGCATAAAGTAATAACTACCTTCTCTTAATTTTATGTGACTACGATCTATCATCACTGCAACTAACTTCTCAATTGTTATGAAAAAATACTCCCATTTCTTATTTTGTTTTTTTCTTATATGATGAACAGATGCGGCTTCTCAGGACTTATTCGTATTTTTAATTATATGAAAAAAAAATATAATTATTTCATATTTTTTTTGTGCAAACAAATCACAATGTATTGTGTACAAAAGATAGATTATTTCTACGCACATTCTTCATGAATTTTATTAACCGACATTTTTAATCAAAATTTGTTTCACTTTAAATACATATATATGAGTGAAGTGTAATTTTATTGCACCGTTTGTATTCTTAGATGTAAAATTTTGATAACTTCAGTTTCTTTTCTCAAGACCAATCTTTGTGAAATTTTCAGGTTAAGCTTCCTTATTTAGTGCATACTACCACATAAAAAATTTAATAGAAAACGAGTGTGTGGATGTAACTGTAAATGAATCTAAGGAGAGACTTCCAAACACCGACACCCATCTTTTTGTCCGTGAAACTCATTATTGTCTCTTGGAGTATACTGAATTGAATAGGCTAAATTATATGATTATTATCTTCTGTTGCATACTTAGTCATTGCATTTTCTTTTGCAACTGAATTAATAGTACTTTTATTTACAAATAAATAAGTAAGAACAATTTTCTTTGCTACACATCATTATTGTCAAGTTAATCTACCTAATACATCAACGATTATAAATAGAAATGGAATCATTTAGATTGTGCAGTATTATAACAAATGTTATATTGCCAATGATTAATTAATTATATATATATTGTTTTAAGTATATATGCTAATATTAACAAAAAATATATGATTCTATTCACACTTTCAAGTTAACAAATTATAATTTTAATAATCTACATCAGAATAAATCATGATGCAATTATGCATAAGATTATCGAATTTATTATGCAGCATAAATTTATCCAATAATTCAAGAAAATAATTTCTGAATTTGATTTTTTAATATTGCAATAAATTTAATAATAAATTATATTTCATGCTTTAGTTCTTATACATATACAAAGTTATATTTTAGTAAGAGTAGTAGATATAACTGTTTGATAGAAAGATTACGAATACATTTTTTTCATTAATATCTTGTGTTAAGAGTGACATCTATTGAATAAAATAAAAATATATATTCTTCTGATAGACGATTCAGCGATACCAATGAGTGAATCATTTATTAATAGTATTTCCATTTCACCTAAATTATTGATATTTGAAGATTAATGATAAATAATTTAACTCGTTTTCGAGTTCTTCAATTATACAAACGTATTATAAAATTATCTCATTCATGGCAATCAATTAATCATCCATTAAAAACATCTGAAGAACAATTATATATTCGTAATGAAGCTCGAGAATTATTTCGAAAAAATCAACATGTTGGTTAATTTTTATTTTATATTTATTATTAATTGAATTCATTTTTTAGGTTAATAATCTAAATGAAATTGAAGAACATATTCGTGAAGGTGAAGCACGAATTGAATTAGCTTGTCATTATAAAAATCCATATCCACGACCAGTAAATAAATCTTTTTTTTTCTTCTTAATTATCGATTGTTTTATTTCTATTCAAGGTTAATTTACCAACTTATTCATTACCACCTAATCATAATCGTATTCGATTTAAAAGTGAATATGAAATTGAAGATATATCAAGACCAATTTATTTAAAATCTTATGAAACTAAAGAAGATATTCCCGATAACGAAGAACAATTGAAAACTGATAAATCATAAAATGTTATTTGTCTAGATTTTTTTTGTTAAATTAGGATATTTTACATTGTTAAACAATAGATTTTTATTTGGAGAAATTAATCTCTTTGCCTCTACTTGATTGCATACCGCTGATTTCTTATATAACAAATCTAACTGCAGTCATAGCTGAATTTGATATCATTAAAAAATAGACCGGTGGGAAATAATTTTATTGAGATCATCTTCTATTTCATATATTTCTATTGTCATTAATGATAGATAAAAAAAAAGAATAATCAAAATGAACATACGTTATATATGAAAATATAATATATGTTTACGAGTGAATGATCACGATATGAGCAAATGTATATAATTGTCTCTATTTCTTTCTTCGTATTACTATCATAGAATAAAGCGATTAATCTTGCATTTAATGAATTTAAATTTGGTGATAGTTCACAAACAGTTAGTTCTTATCTTCCAATATCACTTTCATCGGAATGGTTAAATTTACCACAAGCGTTTGAATATCGATATGATCTTGTTAGATATTTTTGGTGGAAATTAATAGAATCTGAAAATGAAATAATAAAATTTATTCCACCAAACATATTAACAAGTTCAACTGATGGACATTGGTTTAATCTTCGATGTTTTCATGATCAAGTACCAAAAATATTTATTCCACCATTAATAATACCACAAATCTATAAATATGATATTATGATTTCTTATTGTCATAAAGATAAAGATATTTGTCATCGTATTTATCATTGTTTAATTGAAAGTAAATTTCGTGTATGGACCGATTGTTGGAAAAATGGCTGAAGCGATCGAAAATTCGCAAATTGTTTTACTTTGTATGTCAAATGATTAAATGAGTGAAATTTTACATCATCTAGCTGATACAATATTGAAAAATCTTTCTTCAAAAGAAGATCGAATTATTAAAAGGTTTATATATTTTGAAACCACCACACCAACTATTTATCTATTTATTTATAAATTTCATTTTAGTAAAGTAGATGATTCAACAGTAGATAATGAATCACAAAGTTTATCAGGTGTATGAGAATTGAAGAATAAAAATATAATTTCACAGGTTTGCTCAATTAAATGAACGATTTTTAATTAATTCAATCAATTATTTCTTGATTCTGTATTTGATCTATATTATCGTAATAAAATTGAACAAGAGAAAATACTTGGATCGATTGATCGAGTTTATTCATGTTTGAATATACAAAGAAATATTGAATATGATTGGAACATGATTTATTTATGTCGAGAAAAACAAGAAGAAAATTTATCAACAGGATCTATTTCATGGTTTATTCAATTAAATAATGAATTACAAAAAATGTATCGATTCAATGGCAATTATGTATTGGAGAAAATAATATTATTGATATACCAAAAGGTTTTTTTTTATTTTTGATTATTATTATTATTTAGAATCGAATATCTCTTTTGAATATTGTATAGAATATTCTCAAATACGTCTCATTGCTCTTTTGTCAAGTTCTAATGATCATAATGATGTTAATGCTTGGCAAAAAGCTCAATACTTCGTGAATCAAAAATTATTAATTGATGAAGATTTACCGGAATGTGTTTATTTAAAAATTATGAAATATAAATATTATAACCGATCTGATGACAATTTTTATTAAGAATAAAATAGGTAAAAATGAAGTCGTATTAATTTAAAAATAAATTGTTATAACCAACTATGTTGACTAGTAGGAATATTTTGAGTAAAAATAGTAAGTAAAGTATCTAGTTTTGTTTCTATTCTATTAATTCGATCTTCAATTAAATCACAATGTTGATTAAGTTTATGAAAATTCTTTTCATTCGTTTTCTGTTCATAATAAACATTAGTAAGAACAGTCATAAGAGATTCATTTTCACTAATTGCATTTCGTTGTTGTTGTTTGATAACTTTTGCCTGTCGAATAGCTGTATGTAATCGAGAGAGTAAATTAAATGATGCTCGATATTGAGGATCTCGTCGTTTTAAAAACCATGCTCGAACTGAATATTGAATAATTTGCATCGTTTTTATTTTATATTCTCGAGCTTGATTGATACGACTAACAAAATCAAGAACCATTTGTTCGGATCGACTCAATGAAATTTTACTTATGAATACTGCAATTAAAACAGCTGAAGCAAAAACACCGAATAGAGCTGTAAATACTGAAACACCTAGAATATTATTTGAATTTATAAATAAAAAATTCATTTAATTCATTAATCGAACCTCGACCACAATATGTTTGAGGAACTATATCACCATATCCTAAAATAATTTTATTATTAAATGAAAGATAAAATATTCCAAAAAAAACTAACCGACAGTAGTAAATGTAACAATAGTCAGCCATGTAGCATTGATAAATGTTGATGTAGATGCATTTGCTCGAGAGGATACAGAATTAATAGGCATCCACATTCCTTTTTCACATGCATGCATTGACCAACTGGCTATAAACAAAATTATCATCAACATAGATGACCAAGATGCCACAGGATATGTTTGAAGAAAAGCTCGAAGAATAAATGAAATTGTAATTGGTACTCGATTAAGATATCCAATTGTACGAGATGAAGCAGCATTGACTAATGGAGAATGTAATGTCACGCTACGAGCAATCAAATAAAGACGACCGAACACTTTAATAATCAAAAATCATATATATATATCTATTGAAAATAAAGAATTTCTTACTTGGTAGAGTAAGCATCATTTCAAGCCATAGAATATTATGTGATAATAAAAATTTAAAACTATATGGAAATGGATGGATACTACATACAATTACTTCACAAATCATCATAACAAGACCACGAATTCTTAAAGTTATACGCCAATCAATGATATGATTATTTATAGCATAGAGACGAGCATTAAGAATATGATAATAAAAAACAAGTACGATAAGAATTCCTGAAGAAATACTAATTAAAGGACGAATCATATTTATATCCGTTCTTGAGATTTGTGTAAGTCGAAATTCTGTATCGATTATCATTAATATAAGACCAGATAGACCAAAAATACACATCATATCATTTACACGACGACATCGAAAATGAAGTTTTTTACGTTCAATTAAATTATGTTTCATTTTTAGAATTGATTTTTCTCTATCATTAGTTTTCTTTTCACTTGATCTTGTCATTGGAGTAAATTCAATCAATTCTATTGGCATTATTGCATTACTCTTCATCTTAAAATCTAAATAAATACAAATAAATTAATATATATATATATATAATATATGATCTATTTAATCGGTTGATTACAAGTCAAATATTATAGTAGACTAACATTGGAGAGGTTTGATGAACTACAAATCAACTAAAAAATAAGCTTAAAGTTCCCATGGGAACTTGAATTACTACATCAATTTAGTATTTCTTCTATTGGAGAAAAAAAATTATATGATAGATTGTAGTATTACTAGATATAAAAATATTTACCTTGAATAACTGTTTTTTCTTCCTTCGTTATGTAATGATAGATATATTTTTTAAAAAAAAAGATTTGTTCAAAACTAATTTATTTCAGATGTTGTCGCGCGAATAGAAGAATACTTGTGAATAGTAAAACACTTGTAATGTATAAGCGCGTCCTATTGTTTGTCATTCCATATAATAATAAGAAAGAGAAATGTCATGTTGTGCGTGTTCTTGTTTCTCTTTTATATTTGAAAAGAACTCATCTCCGTCCAATTAACACGCTGTATACGAATGAAGAGTTCACATCTTCTCAAGAGAGTTTAACTAATTTGCCCATCGAAAAGTAACATTAGTATTCTTTGATTAGAAAAAGAAAAGAAACATCGTTCATCACATTTTCTAACAAATATTTTTGTCATTTTTTTTCATTTACATAATAATGATGCAAAATACTGTTCTTTTTATACTTTTTAAGTACATCATTATATATGATTCGTAGACATATAGTAAATTACGTGATGATGGTTTATTCATTATTTCGAAATAAAAATCGATTGATTTCATTAACAAACAATTTAATCACGAATTACAAAGTATAGACTGATGTCTTGTCAGTCAAATTAACCTCATCAACATCATTTTTAACTATTACTCGGAAGAATTTGTGTAAATAATAAATGGATGAAATCGTTAGAATATATACAAAGTCTAGATTTTAGAAAAAAAAATGCATGATATTATTGTATAGACGACATATTTCTCATGTTTCATGTTAAGAACTGAATAAATTATTGTAATCTATTGTGTAGTTCTATTCTTGTCATAAATAAAAAAAAAGAATCCATGTGACAGATGATTTTGTGACTCAAAATAAATAGTAATTATTAGCAGTCGAAAGCATTGTATTACAAACGATTGCCTATGCATTTTCTTTTTTTTTCTTTTGATCGTAGTATCAACAGAACAAAAAAAATAAATGGGTTAACTGTTATTTTTTATACCCTTAACAGAGACGCGCACATTTATCATATATACAGACACACAACTTAAAAACACAAATAAGCATAAAGAAAAATGAGTCTTACGACTGGTAAATGTTTATGCGGAGAAATCACTGTTTCGATTCCCACAGAAACATTAAATACATCTGATTTAATTACTATCTGTCATTGTAAAAATTGTCGTCAAGCTGGTGGCTCTCTTGAATCGATCAGTATTATTATTCCAGAATCATCTGTTAAAATCAATGGACAACCTAAAATTTATCTAGATAATAATACAGATAGTGGAACACCGCTTCAACGTGCTTTTTGTAGCAATTGTGGTTGTCCTATTTATACAGCTACATCTAATCATCCAGGTATACAAGTTATTAAATTAGGATTATTTGATGAAATTCCTAAACCAACAATGGAAGGCTACTGTAAATCATTACCATCATGGAGTAAACCAATCGAGGGCATGAAACATTTTGATGCATCGCCATCAAAATAATTAGGACATTTGTTTCTTTTTAAAATAGAATTCTCAAATAAAAATAATAGCAACGAACTCACTTTCTTATTGAATATATACATCATAACGGCTTTATTTTTTTAAGGATTTATATCCCAACAGGTGTCATTTCTTGATAAATATTCTTAAGCAATGTTTCAATCAACCATTCATTGGCTAATGTGAAACC